TTGTCAAGAACTGTCAGGCCGAGGTGATCACAAGAAATACGTAAAAAATAACCCCCCCCCCCCGGATGTTGGTTGTAGGTTGAACAAGCGTTAATATGTGTTTTAATGAAGAAGAATTGAAAAAAGCACATCCACTCGGGCTGTTCTTTGATCCAGATCTGTCGGCAAAAAGACTCGATGTTCATAATGATAGCCATGCACTTGTCTGGGAAGCCAAGAGATTTCGGACCTGATTGGATCGATTATACGCATTTGTTGGATTATTCCCTTCGGGTGAAAATTGACAGACATAACCGGAAACCACGAAAGGTGAGTTGTTTCGATCGCAATGGCAACAATGGTCGGCGATTGGGGTGACGAGAAAGAGACTGATATTGGTAGGAGATGTTTGGTCTAAGATGTCAGAGCCAAAATGATACCGCTCATGGTTGTTGTAACTCATTCTCAAGTCTCGGTATTGATCGGCGACCTTTTTTGTTTGTGGATTGGTGTTCCCATCCTGGTTGAAAGCGATCACATAATTGGATTTGATTCCTTGATGTTGATGATGCTCCACTTGGAAGAAATTATTTGTGTATGTAGAGTCATATGTCCACCCAAGATTCCTGTCTCTCGTTCGGTTCGTACAAACTCGCTCGAAAATTCATTCCCGATGTCTTGTATGGAGCGATTAAGTATGAGGCCATTCACACAAAAGCCTCTCGCAATTTTTCTTTGTTTTTTTGTTTCCTTCAATCGTGGAGTTATTCATATTTTTCTCAGGATATGATCACTGTTTCTTATTTCTTTTTTCCTATGTGCAATGCCAAGTTCGTTGGTATATTTTCACCATTTTTTGGAAGACCAGGTCGATGGGACCGGTTTAAAAAAGTGAATGAATGTACATACTAGTCCCGTTGACGATCAAAGCGGATGGATGTCTGTAAGGGAGATACTTCTCCGTTCGAGTCGTGCCAGCTGGTTTAATTGACACCTCAACTGTGATCAACAACCATAAAAAGTACAGCTTGAGGGTCCGGACAAGCTGGGTGATTGAACCTTCGTTTTTCTTGAGGTTAAAAGTGCACTGCAAAGTGTCGGTATTTTCGAGAGTAGATGAACTTGGATTTGTTTTAGCAGTTGTTTTTTTATTTGTTGTTGGCTCCATGTCATGAGCCGACTCGGAGATTTGTAGAACCTCCTGGTCAGACTAAAACTACCTCAACCCAGAATAAATACGCTTGAACCCTCTCATAACACTTAAGAGAATCGAGCATTAGAGCATATGTCAGACATAAGCAACGAGTGAACAATCATTAGAATGTAACAACATGATCACCATCTGTCTGCGTACATAATACTGTTGTTGGTTTCGTGGTGATTTTGGCGTACATAGTCAAGGATAAGCAGAGGCGAGGTTCTACGATATACAAGTTTGACCGAAGGTGCATGTTTCAAAAGAAGTTAATAAAAGGGCCGGTTAAAGACTCCTGGAGTCCTGCTCAGTCGAGTAGGAGAAGGCCCCGACAGCCCCTGGGTCCACAGGGTCTGAGCCTCTGAGGCCTCCACAAGTCCTGCCCCCCTTTTCTCTTTTTCCAAGAGGTGGGTGATTCCGGATGCGTTATGAGACCCCGCCCCGAAGCATGCTGCCCTTTTGGAAGAGCCAAAACATGTGTTTTTTTGTTGAGGGCCTTGTGGGCTCTGTGGCAGTCTCTGGCAGAGCAAAAGACGGATGGACTATGTAGGAATCAATTAGATGATGCGTACATTTCAGAACTATACACTTGCCGGTTTTACAACCCGAAGAGGGGACAGCGCCCTCCAATTGAAGATAATAGGGGGGTTCACAATAGCGTTTTTCGCTTCCCGCCTCGGTTATTTCTTTTTCTTGCGTGCGACATTTCTCGCCTGCTGGAAGCAGCCTTTTGCCCGCTAAAATGGAGTGCGCAGCATCTGCGGTGCCGCAGCGCAGGACCTGAGAAAATTCTTGCGGACGCCACGGCTCTTGCTCGGGAAGCGCTATTGTGAACCCCCCTAATAAAACTCGAGCTGAGAATTTCAATGGACATGCAGTCCTACATATTCAGAGTAGTGTACATAACATGTAGAAAACCACGGTAGACAAGTGTCAATTCCCCCCCATCAAGAGGTTTTGAATCCCTCCAATTCTCGAGAAGAATCCACGTCAAAGCTCTCTGACCTCTTCGTAGGTCCACTTATTCATTACCATCTCGTCCTAATCCAACACCAAAATCCGTCTCATTGGCTTCACCTCAGGATTAACTTCTACTACCACTTCACTTCTCCCAAAAGTTTCGGTTGGTTGAAATCTGAATCCTGATGTCCATACGGTCATATCCGTTAGAAACTGGGCTCCATACATACGGTCATATCCGTCAGACTACGCACGGATCAATCAGCCTCTTCTCATTCTCCTTGGCATAATCTTGCTCACTGATTTTCCGTCTGGAGGAAGAATCAAACAGAGCAGGCCTCTGGTGTGTCACGGTGCCTACGAATCCTTGTCATATCAAAAATTACCACTGCTCAATCTTCATCTCAAATATCACTCAAGGACCACTGAATCTGCCAGTTGAACTCCAAGTTGGACGGGCCAAATAGCCTTGTTCAGGGGAGCTTCCCTGTTGGAGAGTGCCCAAATCAGCCGGCTGGAAAACTGGTTGATTGAGAACCTGTTGAAGGTTTGACACAGTCATGGTCACCAGAATCTCTCTTTCTATGACTGATTTCATCATTCAACTGACCATCATATCTGGTAGTTTGTTTCCAATCCATCGATGCCATGCTTCACTGACAACCAACGGGTTTTCCCACGAAGAACCCGATTTGGCTGATTACGGACCCTTCACTCAACGGCTCGTCAATTAACCAATTGGCGCTCACAATCTGTCTCGGGTTAACATCAAACGCAGGACAAAAGTTAGCAAGAAAATAAATCTTGTCAGGCAATGCCGGAGCTCTGACTCGAAATCTCGTCTGTCCATAGACAAAAACACGTACTTTGTGAGTCGAGGCAGTACCACCTGCAATTAAACTCCTGGAGTAGGCTCTTCAGTTAAACATTATGCGACCAGCGCTATCGCGCAATCGTGTGTTTGACACGAATGGAACTACCTCCGTGAACGATATCCGCAATCGCTTTTGTACTTCTCGGCGCGTTGATGCCGATTGCTGGAGAGAAAGAAAGACTGTCTCGCGAAGGATTGGCAGGTCCAACCAAGCCATAAATCGATGCGCACTATTGCAAAGCGAAAAAAAAAACAGTAAAATATTATTCAGCGCTTTTGTGACTTTGAATTCATTAACATTTGCTGAATTAAATGATCAATTTCAATTCCTTACAGTTTGCAACGATATAGATAACGCCAAAAAAAAGGGCCGATGCTTCGAATGTAAGCTAGGACGATATCGATATTGTGAATAGCGTCGATGAGCGATCGTAAACCGTATGCAAACTTGCTCGCGGTCACAGTTGTTAGAAGAAATCGTTGATGCGGATCCCCTACCATAGTGATGATGAAGAAACATTGGTTAGTCCACTCTTGTTCTCGTGTTTTGTGATTAGGTTTAAATGTTTATCGCCAAGATGGCTTGTGATCGTCGATTTGGCCGCTTTGGCCAGCGCGATTAGCCGATCCTTGAGCAGTTGCATTTTCAGTTGAGATATCTGCTGATTTGTGAGTTGGATGTGTTGATCTCCAGCTGGGCGAGCGATTAGAAATCTTGAATTAGCAGCGTGCAATGGACCGTCTTGCCCAAACGCGTCTTCTACACCTGGCGATCCAAAGACAAAATCGCGGCGCTGCTGATCAAGTGGGGAGCGAATTGTCGGTTGGCTCGCGTCGGGAGAATCGCTGGTTGGCGCGCTCTGAGCGAATTGTCGGTTGGCTATGTAGCCCTCAGAAAATTGCTAGGCTGCATTTGGTCTAAAGCACCCAGGTCACCGATCGCGTGGCTGGATGAACAATGGGGGACCAGATTATAAGAATGGTGCGAACAGCGATACTTTTTCATGAAACCCCCTCTACAATCTTTATTCTCCAAGGCATTTCTTGATACCTGCGCTCTATTGATTGACCCGCGGTGCTGCTTGCTGTTTTTGACCCTAGATGCTTGAAGTGCGTACATGGCAGATCAGTAATGACAGCGGAATCACTTTCTTCGGGCCTTCTCGAGGCCCCGAGGAAGGGCAGCATGCTCATGCGATTCAACCAAGATTTGCTTCTTTGTCTGGATTTATCTGGTAAGAACGCAACGTTGAGTCTGGTCATGTGTGGGCTCGATAAACTGCTTCTGATCAATCTTGGTGAGTATCTTTTATACAGGTTTCATCAGCCTCCTTCGAAAGCTCTCAACTTCCTTCACTGGCGATCGATGTGCTGGATGTCTCTAAGTGATAAATCTACTGCCACCACGACATACTAATTTTGCAATATTTCCATACTCTTGCATTGTTTGCTCATCCATCGAATACAGTATTCGTATTGCAATGTAGCATTATTTTCGCATTAGTTTGTGCAAAAACGCTCCGCACAACGCATACAATTTAACAAACATCCGCACGTAGTACGAACTAAGGATTGCTTTTTACTAGCATATTTTTCCACTCAGGCTCTCAATATCTACTACCAACTGAGTATTGCTCGTTACTAGCATATTTATCCCATCCGGCTCTTAGTATGAGTAGGTCGAGTGAGACGACACCACATCAAAGGAGGCCTTGCCGCGCCGAGATTGCATCGTATTCCTTTTTGTCATGCTTATAGCATGATCAGACGCGATGAGATGAGTAGGCTTCCTGACACATAACCGGTGACAAAGGAAGGACTTTGCCACTTGCCATCCCATTTTCAATCTCCTCTATAAATATTGCACCATACACCATAGTTTCCCCCAGATTATCCCAACAATTACAAACCTCTCTCAAATATTATCCCCTTCCAACACCGCCTCAGCTCGCCCTTTCTTGACCATTGTAGATTAAAAAAAAAAAGACCATAATGAATTGCCTTCCTGACTCTTCGGCAACAGACGAATTCCATGAACTCTTCCTACTGGCTGTTAGGCTCCATGCTCTTGAGAATGCCAAGTCTGCAGAAGATCAGCAGATGAATCAAAACCAGATCTCCGTTCCCTTGCCAGAAATGGTGCAGGCAAATAATGACTCGCTCAGCCCCCAAGAAGGTCAGTTCAGACCGTACTCTTTCCCTCTGTGCTGTTTCCAATATTTTGGAAGGACATTATCTCTCACATCCAATAGCAGCAACCACCTTAAGTTCTTTGATGATTCTAATACCTCGTTGGTAAATTAATCAGGCTCTATCGCAGCGGGGATCGCAGTCTCGGTTGCTCCCAGTCCGGCTGAAGTACCTCCCCAGGCGGGACAACTCCAAAATCATTTACCGGAGTCGACAACGGAGCTCCCATCAAATCAAACCCGATTCTTCTGCACACACCCCGGCTGCGACGACTCCGCTGATACTCGCTTCAATCTCAAAAGACATATGGAGATCCACACACCGGTGGAAGAGAGAGCTCCCAGGAGTTAGTCCCCCTTTCAAAATATCAAATTCTGATTTACTCATTTGTTTTATTTTTTTCAGTTCTCTGTGAGAAGCAAGGCTGTGACAGCACCTTTGGAAGGCCAGCCGATTACAAAAGGCACAAAATTAAATTCCACCCGGAGATGGTAGAGCCAGGAACAGGTGCAAACCAGGTCTCGGCCAAAATTTACTCGAAACAACCATTGGGAGCGTGTGCGTATTGACTTCCCTATACAACTATTAACATTGTGCATTGGTTAATCTTCTCGCTGATGGCGGTTTCAAATGCAACTACGGTTACATTATCCTCTTATAGTTCAATGCCCAGAACCCGGTTGCAAACACCGGTACCAATCAGAAACCAGTGGTCACTTTGCCAGGCATATGAGGAGGGTCCATGGAATAACCATCCGATCTTGATTTCTGAAAACAAATACCGTTCTTATCGGACCCAAATCTGCTTAACCATTACATGACCTATGCGTTCTCCCTTTCATTGAATATTTGGATAGCAATAATGTTTTCGTTTTTCCTTTCTCTCAACTGGAATGCCTAGTTCGATTTCAAATTTGTTTTCGTCTTTGTTATTGTTGTTATTATTAGACTATAGAATCCAAAATAAAATTTGGTAGTCCTGGAATGAATTCGATCCTTCCTTGATGTCGTGACTATGGATTGCAATTGTGAAGTACCAAAACGCAGGCTGAAAAATTGCGGAAAGTAGCGAGTTGGGATCAGAAACTGTACAGCATAATGATACACTCCCAAATATCATGAGTGATTTTTAATCTCTATCTTTCTCGCAAGTGAGCATACCCCGATGGCAATATCGCGGTCAATACGTATTCAACCTTCCCCAATCTACTGGGGAATGACCTGATGCTTTGTTGTGGGATATTTCATCAAACAATCTTGGAAAATATGCTAAATGAGTCGTAGATTATGATAGCTGGATAGATATGCCAATCGGCCATTGATCATTGCACTCCGATAAAATATCGATCCGGAATGGAGCACAACAATTCATGAATCAACGTGTCTGGCCACAAAGGTGAGGAAATTTGGATTTGATGGGGAATAACGATGGGCGAAGCGGAAAGCAGACAGTGTCTGAAAAGTAATGTATGCAACTGTTCGAGAGGGCTGAAGTGCTCTTGAGATAAGACTGAGGGAGGCTCAAGTGTCGCCTCAGAACTATCTAGAGGTCTTAAGTAGTCTAGATACAATTGATCAACTTCTGGGAACAACAGTGATTCATAATGAATAAGAAAGAAAACAACATTCCAGACCAAGAAGCATAAAAAAGTGGAATGAGTTTGGAAGAAGAAAGAAAGGAGAGCAGAGCAAGGGCTAGTGAAATTCCCAAAAAAGGTGAGGCAGATTTGAGCTACATTAGATAAGACTTTACGCAGGTATTAGTACGACTACATGAAATCCTCATTAATCACAGGGAAAATGAGAAAATTAACTCACATGTTCATCTGCAAGAATCAAAATTTAATCAAAGCAGATCTTACTACAGCTCAAAAAAATGACTTATTTGTCAGCCACTTGCACCAAAACAGGAGATTCCTATACATTTTATTGTCAGAAGGTATTGGTGTAATCTATAGCAATGAAAGACTTTATGCAAGAGCACAACTGAACCACATTTTCATACCAATCTAAATTTGTTCAATTAAAAAAAGGACAATCAGAATATGCTACAAACAAAATGACACTTAAGCAGTGGAATTTACTTCATCAAATTGCATAAAATTCAAGACTTCAGAATTTGGAATAGAACTGGGAAGATCAGAGTGAATCAATTGATCCCAAAATTGAATGGACTGAGAAATTGTTGAATGCTTTGCCCTTGTCTTCTTGGGTACATTTCATCATTTACCTCAATCTGACGCTTCCAAGATGTATCTTATCTTCCTTTTTTTATTGTTTAATCCTCTTTGTATTTACCTGGTAAAACATGCATTATATCTTCTGTAAAATCCTCATTAGGTTACAATGTTTTTCTTCTTGATGGGACGTTGGTACGTAGATACCCCTATCTACATGCAAGAATTATTGTCTTATTTGACAGTTCCCACTCCAGTGCACCAGTGGGAAAGAAAATTTTGTGCATGAGCCAAGGACAACACAGATGCGGTATCTGATACGGAAACACCAGTGTTATACATGCATAGATCATCCAGTTGGCTTTGTTTTTATGAAGAAGGATGAGATTGTGCACTGAGAATGAGTCCTTTCAGGTCGGATGTCACAAACCAGTCACGTCAAGAGAGCCATCGATGAGGGAAGCGCCTGTGACATACTTGTGTAATCTCCACCCCCAAGTCGCGTCGTTCGTTCCCCCAGATAAATTAAGAAAGCCCCCGCCGGCACCAAACTATCCGCACACCCAATAGGCGAAGGAGACGTAACGTGCGCAAGGAACGAAATAAACAGGTTGACTGAAAATGTCCAGGTGAAGTTTGGCTTTGATCGTACTTACTGCTCGAGCGAAAGACTGACTGAAACAATTTCGCGTATCGGCAGCTCCAAGATGAACGCTACGACAGTGGATATCCTCAAAGCCAGTGGAGCAGAAGTACCATGGTAAGCCAATCATCAGTACATTGAATGCGGAAACGAAGGAAACGCTTCTCGTTATAACACATCGATCGGCGTTGTTGGAAAAAGAGAAGTAAATGAACGATGAACGCGATTGTTGAAAGTTTTTCAGGGTTGAGAAGTATCGGCCGATCATCTTAGATGACATCACTGGAAATACGGACACGATCGAACGTCTTAAAGTGATTGCTCGGGATGGGAATTGTCCCCATATCATCATTTCGGTCAGCATTCTGTCTCTTTAAACTCGGTTTTGCCACCTGCGAGCTCAGAACATGATAAATCGTTCTAACAGGAGTGTTTTTTTTTCAGGGTGCGCCTGGAATCGGAAAGACGACTAGTATACTTTGCTTAGCTCATGCACTCCTGGGTGACGCATATAAGGAGGGTGTCTTAGAACTCAACGCGTCTGATGAAAGGTGAGAAGCAAGAAAACCCCAATCTCTCTCTCTCCCCCTTCCCCCATTTAACCAATATCAAAATTAAATGTTTTCTGATAAGAGGAATTCAGAGGAATTGATGTAGTGAGAAACAAAATCAAGACGTTTGCCAACACCAAGGTAACTCTTCCAGCCGGTCGACACAAGATAATCATTCTAGATGAAGCCGACTCGATGACAGCCGGTGCCCAACAAGCCCTCCGACGAACGATGGAGATCTACTCGAACACGACCCGATTCGCGCTTGCGTGTAACAACAGCAGCAAGATCATCGAGCCGATCCAGAGCCGATGTGCGATCCTGAGATATGGAAAGCTGAAGGACCAGGAGGTGCTCAAGAGACTGGTCGAGATCGCCACGGCCGAAAATGTCAAATATGCAGAAGACGGATTGGCCGCCTTGATCTTCACCTCAGAAGGGGACATGCGCCAGGCCATCAACAATCTACAATCAACCGTCTCTGGCTTCGGCTTCGTGTCCGCAGAGTCGGTCTTCAAAGTCTGTGACCAACCTCATCCGGTCGTCATCCAGAAACTCTTATCAGCATGTGAAAAAGGTGATTTGAGTGATGCGTTGGATCAACTTGAGCACCTGTGGGAGCAGGGCTATAGCGCTTTGGATATCGTCGGTACCCTATTGAAAGTCGTCAAGAGCATGGATCGTATGTCGGAATTCTTAAAGCTGGAATTCATCAAAGTCAGTGTTTTTTTCATGATTCTTGACGTAAATCACTCTTTGTGAGTCTGAGAGCTGACGTCATGATTTATCCATTTGTCTACCTCAATGTTAATCAAACCAGGAAATAGGTTTCACTCATATGCGGATTCTTGAGGGTGTTAGCACACTTGTCCAAGTTGAGTCATTATTTGCTTTTTGTTGATCAAAAGTTTTCCTCTCATAAATATATATTATTAACCAAATGAAAAATCGTTTGAATTTCCCAATTCTTTCTCTTTGGATGGATAAACTACTCAAAATCAATCAAAATTGATAGTTGGGAGGCTTGTTATCTAGATTATGTAAACTCAAGATGGATCCCAAAACTTTCACAATTTGACAATACTATATTTTTCCACCTCTCCCTTTATTCTTAAAAGAATCGCACCTACAAAACACGGAAGATGTGTCCCAGTATGATTCAAAATGTAGTGTCTGTTTCCAGTTCAAGTCTCACGTCACATGGGACACCAGGCCTTAAGCCATCAGATTCAAACGTTGCTCATATCACCCTCCTGCCAAAGTTCATTTTTCGAATTGAAAGAAACACTATCGATCACAAGCATGTGAGGTAGCGCTCAGATGTTCTATGCTGATTTCCCTGGCTACTCTAACACTTACATAAGAAGGAGAACTTCTCAAAACTGAATTGCTGATCTTGAAGCAACTTTCCTTTTTTTTTCTCAGTGCCATACCGCAAGAATTGAGAGTTGAGATAACCGCCGATTGGATCAAGTCCCACATGAGAGCATCTCCTGCGGAGATCGCCGTGTGGGGAAGCGAGTTTTCTTCGGGCCTCCGTTGAAGAGACTCGATTGGAGTCAAGAGTGTGATAGGCGGACGAGCGGCGGCGGGATAGCCGCTTCATGAGTCACAACCATTGGCGCAGGGAAAGGTTGGGTTTCCGCAGGTCTGAAAACCTTTTCCATACCACTCAGGAGGCCATAATGCTTGATGTCCGGCTGGTTAGGCCGCAGGCAATAGGAGTTTGCTCTTGGGTCCGACGATGCCTACGTTGATAGAAATAAATGCAGATCATCAGGAATTCGATGTGCAATCTGCCCTTAACTCGAGCCATCATCAACATGTTCGTTTGTGCTTCCTTCCAACGACATAGTAGTGCTCTCCAGTTGATCTATTGTCTGTTGGCAACTGTTTCACCCACGAACTCGGGCTACCTGAAGAAGTTCTCTGAGCAAGGGAAAACCTCAATTCATGAACATGGCTCTTTCAGAGAAGAGTTACACGCCGCTTTGTTGACATGGCCCACTCCCAGCGTTTCGGCAATCAATTTGGGAAATTCATGGAACGAGTCAGTACAAGATCACTTCAATCGTTTCCTGGGGCGACCGGCATGGCCGGGATTCGCAGTCAATGATCCTGCTCCAGCTCCCGGCTTGCAAAGAATGTTACTTGGATCAGAAAACAATACAAGCCAAGACGTTGAAGAACCAATTTCGTCTTCTTCCAACCCACACGATACTTGGGTGCAAGATCGTAATCCTTCTATTGGTAAGTTACTTTCCGCCATCCATCCATGCCCATAGATCATCGCTTCACTTGACTGACTCCAGCATCTGAAGCCAATAATGAAAGTCACAAGCAGCAATTGGATTCAGACCAAACACCGAAAGCCTATGGTAATTTGAATACCAGGGTGGTCCGCACAATCCACCAAGCCAGTGCTATCAATCAAGGTTAGTGCATGGGTTCATCAAAGCCGCCTAGCTGGGTTTGCTGAACTAACATGCTCCAGCTGCAACAGTTGACCAGCCTTGTGGCAGCCAGGTACCTTTGAGTCACCCAGGGGATGACAAGACAGCTACCCGGTTGTCTTTAAACTCAAAGCAGAGCCCGGCAACGGAATTTCTTAGTCAACAGGAGTCCCAAGCAGATATCGAACTTCCTGACCAATCTTTTGTAGACGGGTATCGTATGATACAACTTCTCAAAAACCGTTACGACAGATTTCGTGAAAAGATAAGTTCCGAATTCTCGATAAGGAGACAGAGCGCCACGAAAAAATGGATCCCTCATCCAGCTTTGAAAATCGCGCTATATTCGGGAAGAAGGTTTCCTGTGGTAGTGCGAGTTCTAAATGCTGCCAACAATAGGGCTCACACTGGCCATACCTTAGGTCCGAAATACTACGATTTGATCAGATGGCTGTATGCACTCCATGAAGAATGGCTGAAGAGCTGGAATATGCCAACATACTTGTACAGGCTGTGGCAAGAAAGGCTTCTGGACTGGCTGGACTTTCAAATATCTGGATCAGATGATCAGAATTGTCCAATCATCGGGATCAGATGCTCATCACTTCTCCAATGGACAGAAGAGGACAAATTCCGCAATACCCAGGTCCTATTAATAGACTACTTCCACCAGCTTGAACAAAAAAATGCAGGGATCACTGCTGCTTACCTGTTGGAAAATTTCAAAGCTAACAATCCTAGTGAGTTTTAAATTCCTTAGTGGCAGGTTGCTTTACTACATTGCTAACTTTGTTGACAATACCAAATACTTTTCAACTTATAAGTATCACATTTTGGGGCAAACTCCCCTATTTTTGAAAAGACCCACCCAAAAATCAATGCACCCACTATCAATGATCAGCTGCAAGAGTTGAATGAAATTCCTCTATGCCCAAATTTCCAACAGTATATGGATATTTTATTAAGCTTGGCCACTAGAAACAACATGTTCAATAATCTGGTTTGTTGCCACAATTACCCAATTGAAGGCAAAGAATTTGTATCATCTTTCATCACTCATTTCAGCCAGGAATTCCAATCTTCAAAAGTCAATCTTTCCAATAGGTATAGGACCATCAATCCTAGATTCCCAATTGCAATGTACTTTGAACAAGAAGATTCCAAGAAGAAAATCTTTTATGTGTTGGACCAAGAATATCAGAAGAGTCCGTTATCCTATCAAGCTATTTTGAGCAGGCTCAGAATACTACTCAAGGCAATCAATTACATCCATCTCCAAGTCTACAAACATTTTCATGTAAAAGAAGAAGATTATCAGCAAAGTGTAGAAAGCATATTCCAATGGATCATAAAATTCATTCTCCAACCTCAAGGATCTCCCCCTTTATTTGGGACTTGGAGAAACCAAGGAGATCTTGCTCCTTGGGAGATTGAGAATAACGGGGGCTTTGAAGGCTTTCAAATGGTTCAATTACAGCTAATCAAATATTTCTCTGAGCAAGAACATCCCAAAACTCTTGAAAAATCTACTGGTCTTGTGATTACAAAATGGTACCAGGATCATTATCCAGATGAGCTTCAAACTCTATGTAACCATATCAAGAAAATAATTCACACTTCATCTTTGAATTCTTCATAAGCAATTTTCAAAAGCTTCTTGGCTGGAATTTTGCAAGTTCTCAATTGTGTCTTTTCTTCTTAATTGTCCTACATGTCACTCTTTTTCTTAACCATTCAGGGTGCTTAAAAAGCCTCTTTCTACATTAAATGATAACCCCTACAGGTCCATATCACCCATGCAATGAGACTTCAGATTTCTCACTATTTGGGGCTTTTCCCAGACCTTTTTTACATTTTCTAATTTCAGAAAGCAGTTCAGGAATCAATTTTGCACACCCCTGATACAGTTCTTCCTCTTCATTTGCCACAAAACAGCTTTTCCCTAAGGATTTAATCTATTTACTCATCTACTTATGGGCAGCCATGAAAAAAGAACAAACATCAGTTCTGCTTATCATCTGGCTTTAATATCTGCATTCTCTCACCATTCACCTCTAAAAACGACTTAGAAAAACCAGACCAACCGGTTTATTTTTTTCTCCAAGATCCTCATCAAAATTCCTGGGTTGTATCTATATGCCTATCCAAAGATGAAAACCAGGGCCCCAGAAAGTCCGGCTTTTTTCTTCTTAAGTGGGGAAAGGTTGCAAATACATAAGTAAAGAGGATCAGGTCTCAGGGATGGGAGTTTAATCCATGTGGGTGATTGGAAGAGTTTAGGAGACTTTATTCTCTTGCCCTAAATACTCACAATTGGAAACCTGAAGAAGGTTTGGAGAAAATGGATGTATAACATTGGATCCCAAAAAAATGAGTAAAAAATACAACCCAACTACACAATATATATGAGAAAAATGATTAAAAATGAAAATTTTGAAAAAAGCCACTGCTGGGTATTTTGAAACAGGCATGAAGTGAGGCATTCAGCTGTCTTGCAGGTATTGCAGTGTTGGAGTCAACTTGAATTCAAATCTTGACCTGAGCACAGAAATCAGATTTTTTTTTGGTTCTATCTTCTCATTTAGTATCATTCTTCCCTCATGTCATGTAATCTTTTCCACCATTCAGATTATTTTTGGGAACAATATTAAAAATTCTTCAAAATATGATTGATTGTGATATTTTCCCAAATTGTGGCAATCATTTTTTCACATTTTTGTTTTCAGAATCATTATTAGGAACCCTTTTTGTACCACTTCACCAAGGCACATTGCTTGTAGATTGTTGGTTGAAATTTGGGAAGGAAAAAAATGTGACCATAATCTTGAGTAGCCCACTGTACAATCCCTCAAATCACAAGGGTAATGTCAGTTATGTGTATGAAACTTTGGCTTAATTAATATAAAAGCCAAGTACTATCACTGTGCTGAAGAACTCAGGTTAAAGACCAAGATTACTCCTAGTCACCCTCAAAGTATTAAGTGGTCCAAACTTCCCACTTAAGAGGTTGAAAAGTCCACACTCCTCAGTTAATGACACTTGAATAATCAAGAGAGCACTGTAGGAGACAATAACATAATATGTTATTGTAGAGTGTTTGGAAGCAATAATTAATATTGCAAGAAGTAGCTGGCAAGCACCTGAGCTGAAAGGCTACAGTCGGAGGTGGTGGTCTTGCAGCAAATACTTTTTAAGGAATTAATTAAGTGTTGAGTCTGGGATAACTCTTAGCTTAATAATAATTCCAGTAAGAAGGTAGGGTTGGATTGGATAAAAAGACTACTCTAAAAGTAGGTGGATAATATTCACTGTACTCACTAAGTGTACTGGGGGTGAATATGCTGAAGAACCAATCCTAGGCAGGAGAAGGCCTCCTTAAATATTCTAGAGGTCCCCTTGAGGCCCTCCTTAGAATATTCTAGAATCTCTCTTTGGTCTACCATGGTAGAGTTATTCCCCTGATGTAATGGGAATAATTCAAGGTATTTCAAATAATGTATATTCTATGTCCCATGACATCATGATGCATATTTATAGCCAATTAAATCATGTGTCTACTTAAAATAGAATACTACTAGTAGAAAAGTGCCACACTCTTGACATGGTGTGGTAATTTTTTTTTCTACAAGTTTAATTTTTTAATTATGCTTGTAGAATAAAATTTCTAAGGTTACCCTAAATGTATATTTAACCCTAATTTAATATACATTAATTTTATTCTATATTTTTGTATGTTTTATTCCTTTTGTCCTTCAAGGTTTTGAATATATACAAAGTCCTTGAAGGAGTAGGAAATTGGGGGTACTTCCAGTGGGCAACCCCCTTTATAATCTTATGAAATATAGTCTTATTAATAATATTATTACATATTATATTACATATTGAGTATTTAATATTCAATATTCATTTAGCAGTCTTTTGGATACTATGGTGTATCTCTAAGGCTGACAGGTAAACTGTTGGTTATACCATTTGCAAACATTATAAAAAAGGCCATAATTGAAGATAAGATAAGATATTCAATTTTTTAAGGTTAGAAGGGTGATTCCCAAATTTAGCCAACAACTCCCAACAACCATCAACAGATGTCAGGGACTCTGGTGGCAGTCATTGGCTAAAATTGGGGCTGGTTTCAGGAGTTGTCTGGAGAATTTTGAAACTATTATTTCAATTGAATTGAATTTTTCAATCATCAAGAGTTGGCTCCCCAAACCACTCCTCACTCATGGGGGAGTTTGGGAGTTGCTCCCAAATGACCAAAAGGAATCTCTTCCAGTCAATGAGGTCTTGGTGATCCAATAACATTTGTAAAATATTGTGTATTGAGTCAGAAAGCAGACACACAACTGTCAAGTATCACTACAAACAATACCGATTTTGCCCCAAGGAAAAATGGCAATTTGGATGGTGGAAAATAGATCAATTTTCTGGCACTTTTTTTACAAGATGCCTCAGGAGTAAAAAATTAGGCTAAAATGAGCTATTTTAGCCAAAAAATAAAAATGTCTCAAATGAGCTAAAAAAACATTTTGGAATGTTTGATGAATTTCTACCTCTGGGCTAAAATAGCTCAGTTTAGCCCAATTTCTACTCCTGAGGCATTTTGGAAAAAAGTGCCAGAAAATTTATCCATTTTCCCCCACCCAAATTGCCATTTATTGTTGGGGCAAAATGGGTATTGCTTGTAGTGTATGGGGCACCACCAAAGCCCTTTGTCAGTTTTGAAAGCTGGAATTCGAAGGTACAAAGGCTAATGCAGAATGTTGGCAAGTTGAACTCATGTTGCTATCTCTTTGTGGCAGAGGGGCAAAAACAGAATTAATACAAGAACAAATTTCTTGTCTTGACATACTACCCAAGGGCAGACAAAAAAATTGAAGAGTTTGGCCAAAAACTAAAAATTAAGTTAATGGTCCTATCATTATCAGGAAACTTTCTTCTCATGATTAATAGAGATGTAAAGAACAATTTGGGATGAAAACACAGCACCAGGCCAAAAAGTTGAATTTGGGGATATATAAAATTTGTGTGAAGGGCCTGTGAGATTATATGGCCTTAAAAAAATAAAAGAGAAGGTGTAAGATATCTCAAGTTTGAAAGTTTGCTTGATTTGGAGTATAAAACTATCAGGCTTTTATTTTTCCTGGAGGAAAGTGTGGTTTGGGAGGTTGATTTTCAACCCAAGTTGGGTTTGTGGATAAATGGGAGTGAAAATTCTGGAGATAATCTTGAAAAATTTCTGCTGGGATGAACATATGGCCGTGAGGAAACACTTGTTTGAGTACATTTGATGAAGCTTACAGCACAAGGTGGAAATTTCACCAGATCAGGCTTTGAAAGTACAACTACAACCATTATACAAAAGCCAGGATAGATGTATAGATCATCTATGGAGCAGGCTCTCATGGTCATGAGTGGCAGGGAAATATTGTGCAGAGTTGATGAAGAGGTACTAGAAGAATAATGGACTGGCGGCTTGTTGACTCTTCTTATTGAGCAACCAAAATTCTTTACCCATCTCCCTCCTTTGTACTATCTTATCTTACAGGTCACACTTGAGGCACTGGCCACTGCCACACAGGGAACCAATCACCCTTTCAAGGAAAAAAATAGTAGAGATCTGAGAAGAAACTGTATGCTCCGCAGCTCTGGAACACAGACCTCAATAATCTGTCTCAAGACAAAGAATTGTATACTTTCATGAAATCAATAAATCAGGTTTTATTTGTCTGGGGAGTATCTCCTCTGAAG